TTCTTCGTGGGCCGATATATCTCCGAAAATGAGATCCATATCCTCTAGAGTCTAAATTGCATCAACGTCAGTGCTGTCCTTCAATTTCAAGCAGTAAGGGGTCGGGATTCAGTACCTTTCCACGTGTTTCTGGAATACAGAAGAATGTAAAGATAAATGCAATCAAAGCAAAGGCCGCGAAGAAGATATATGTGCCCCACGTGATGGTGTCGAGCATGTCAGGGGTGACTAGGCCGATGATGCTGGCAAAGGAGTTAGAAATGGCAGGGCAGTGGGGCTCGTGGGGATCCAACGTACAAGTTGCACATCCATGTGGCAGATGTGGTGATGGAAATGGCCTTTGATCGAATTGAGAGATTGAATATCTCTGAGGGAAGCACCCAACCAATAGGTCCTGAAGTGATTGTTAGTGGGAGACGTTGAATATTTCACCGAGACACTTACCGAAGGAATAGGAGAAGTTAATATCGTATATATAGATGAAGGCAATACCTGCCCAGCCAGCGGACTTGTGGCTCATAAGATTAGCCCCATAAGCCCCCAGGATTCCGCCCACGATCACCAGCGAGATACAAGTACCAGCGGCTCCAGCCATTAGAAGAGCTCGACGTCCAAATTTGTCAATCAAGAAGAGCGCTGGAAGTGTAGACAGGCAGTTGACAATGCCGTATACTCCAGTTGCGAGAAGCGAAGTGGTGTTGCCATCCATTCCAAGCTGGCCAAAGATCGTCGGCGCGTAGTAGATCATTGCGTTGCAGCCGATAAATTGCTGGAAGAACATGACCGCACAGCCAATAAAAAGACGCTTAAAGCGTGCCCACTTTGTGAACAAAGACATGTACTAGAAGAGACATGTGAGTTTAGAGCAGAAGATATGCAAACGAAGCACGAACCTGAGCGGCATGTAGTCGCACACCTGAAAGGTTGGGGAAATTTTGTCGAGCGAAGGAGTTTTCCAACATGATGGATGCTCTAACTTCCAAATATTCGCTCTGCAGGGTCGTGGAATCGCGATCCTTTCTGCGCAGTCGTGAGAGAGAGACAAGCGCGTCATCATCACGCTCCTTCATAATCAACCATCGAGGCGATTCTGGGAAGAATATCATTCCGACTCCCAATATCACCGCTGGCACGATCTGAAGTGCCAGTGGAATACGCCAGGAGGCTTCTGATTGCCCGTTGCAGCCCGCCGCCGGGATATCATTATATGGGTCGAAGGTGGGCTTTGCAGATGTCCCACCAGTGTAAGGCATGTCGGGAGCGCAGCGAGTACCACCAACATAATTGGTGCCGTAGTCAATCCAGTAGCTGACGAGAATTCCAATGGTCACGGATACTAGAAGCAATATTAGTATACATATTTTTATCTCAAACCTGGAGGGGTAGAAGGCGAACATTGTTGAGTCACAACCAGACCACCACGAATCTCGGGGATAGAGACCTGTTATATCATTAGCTTGACGTTCAGTCAATACTTTCGCGAAGGCAGATGTCACCTCGGAGATGTATAATGGCACCACCATGGTCATCATTCCGACGGCCAACCCGACAATCGCTCGACCTGAAGGAGTTAGCCATAATTCAACAGCCTAGTGTCTGTTCAACTTACCGGCAAATAGCATCGGTATGTTCACTGCTGCACATTGAATCGCAGATCCAATAACAAAGATGACTACCGCGAGATTGATAGAAAGCTTTCTTCCAACACGGTCCGCGATGGGCCCGTTGATCAAGGATCCGAACCATGCAGCTAATAATTCGTAAGTACAACTACACTGAAACCATCGGTCATATTTCTAGAGCTTACCGAGTAGGAGCGTCGAAACAAACCAGCCTTTGAATCCGCTATCAGTGAAAACACGTGGAAATCGAGCTCCAAATGATTCCATAGTTATCACGCCACTAATGACACCTTGATCATAGCCAAACAACCTTTGTTTCGATCCAATTAGCGAGACATATAGCATGCGGGGATTGAAACAGGCACGTACAAGCCGCCGAGTGTTGAAAACTGGGTAAATATCAGCATCGTGATAATTCTGGTATCGGTACTTCAAGTTGGCGCTTGGCACTTACCGATGCTACACCGCATAGATATGGATTCTGCAAGACCAGCTTGAAGCCGCCCTTTGGCGGAGTATCAACAACGGAGCCCATTCTGATCAAATCGTTCACGATGTTCACACACTCGATAGTGGGAAAGACCGAAACTGGGGAGTCGAGCTCTATATATGCGGTCCAGTTTTATAGCTTTTCCCGGGCGGGAAACAAGAATGCAACCTCTTTGGAGCACTTTCTGTGCCGACTGGAGGACAGTACTCCGCAAGCCGAGTCCGAGCGAGATCATACATAGACTGGCGACATTGCCGTGAGCTCGGGGCGGACTGCAGTACTCCGTCCAATGAGGGCATAAAGGGAGTGATCTTCGGGGCCCGGTTCCTCTCATGGATGGGCCGACTCAATTTAAGGTGTAAACCCCAATGCGGGGAAACTTCGAACCACGGGCGCCCCTAAACTCAGGAAGTATAGCGACAAGCAGCAAGTCAACTTCAGGTAGTACAAGGCTGATGAGGCTGATGATGAAAAATAAGCGGGCAATTCCTGCCAAATCTTTCTTCTTGTGCTCATCAATGAAAAAATAACCCTCAAGTACGGAGGCTGGTATTGCGAAATCGGGAATCTGCCGAGGATGTGGAGAAGGTCGAAAGTTGGGGGCGGGGATGGGGAATCAACGGGGTAAACGGGCCATGCCAGTGCGACCCGGAGAAGAGTGCACCGTCGGCCTTGCTCCGATCAGGCCAGGTCTGAAGTGTGTCTTCCACTGAGCGCAATCCATTGGGAGCTGCTGAGATCTTTTATGTACTACTGGTAGTACTCCGTACTTATCACCCCAATCCTGACCATTTACCTCGGAGTGTCCGCGTCCTGGGCGAAACCCTTGGGAATATTACTAGTAGTAGCCATACGTAGCCGTGACATGTCACATGCTACTAGTACATATTTCCATTTTTTACACTCAAATAATTAGACTGCACAAATCCTATCCCAAAGGTCATTGTACTTCCAAATGCCATTCACCGACTCTCAGGCCGCAGGCCGCAGGCCAAATAGCTTCATAAACTCTCGTCTTCAGCATCTTATCGCTTATAATCATCGATCTATATATTTTAATTTGGGATTTTCAGGCCCTCTCCTAAGTCTGCTGTCAGCAAGAAGATGGCCTGTTGTGCATGAAGCCTACCCACAAATACAGCCCTAGTGCGACAACACTGCCGAATCATCACCATTCCATCCAAAGGATAGTGCAACGGCCTTTTGGGGGACTGAAGCTTTTACTCAGCATGCGGCATATTGAGCAGATTAAACCGCCAGCGCTGACAAATTTCAGTACTGTGTCAGTGAATAAAGCATCCCAGAAATACGGTCAGTTTTTCAATTTTATTCTGGGCTTCAAGTGGCAGCTTGTCTTGTACCCTATACTACAGTCATTTCAGTTTGACGATCATTATATAGACCATAGATAGGCAAGTCTGCTAATAAAGCCTCAAGTCACATCTCATTTGCCTAATTTCTAGTACCGTCACCTCTTCTGCATTAGAAAATGCGGGTTAGCGTATACTATAATGCCACTTGGGCTCTTTGGTCTATTCAAAAATGCCTTGAGCCCTTTGAATCGTAACTAGATCAGTGTGCAGCATAAATGCCTGGAATCACTGACATATTACGCGTCGACCTGGAAATTGTCAACTGATTTGGTCGTTTGCTCTCACTCATTTCTGCTCTCCTTGGCCCAATCAAGCCTCGACCTTCCTTCCACCTTTGAGCCACCCCATCTTCCTTATTTCCTCTTGATCTCTTGCAGGCTCGCATACCACCTTTCATCCGCTATTATCGCGCTCCCAGCAAGCCTTTCTGGTCAGTTATGACTTCACTCAATATCTCACGACGCAAAGCTGACAACTCTCCTCGTCCTCAAGCAGGAATCTCGATTAAAATGGCGACCATTAAGCCTCTGCGTGTCGGGGTTCTCCTCGTTGACGCCGTCCAGCTTCTAGACATTGCTGCCGTCGACCTTCTCTTTATGACGGATCCCGACTACATCAAAGCGATCGGCATGCCAAAGCCAATGCAGGAGCTTGGTAGACCTTGTCAGGTCCATTACATCGGCCGTGGCGGAGCAAAGGAACACTCGCCTGTGACTGCCAACATGGAGCTCACCTTGACGGACTCTCTTACCAGCCCCGCCGTTGCACCCGGACAACTTGACGTGCTCTTCATTCCTGGTCCTCCTCCTGACAGCATGCCATGCGGCGATGACTATCTGGAATTCTTGCATGAACATTTCAAGGCCGGAGTCGAGATTATGTCGGTTTGTACCGCTGCCTTGGTGATTGCATACTCCGGCATCACCAAGGGAAGGGTTGCCACCGCGCCTCGCATCTTGATTCCGCGTCTGCGAAAGGAGTTCCCGGATACTAAGCTCTGGGATGACTCCATGCGAGTGGTTCGTGACGGAAACCTCTGGTCCTGCGGTACGTTATCTTGCAAAGACTGCTTCGTGACACAGCATGGCTGACTATACATTAGGCGGAATCACCAACGGCCATGACTTGATGGCGGAATATCTCCACCAGAACTACCCGGCACCACTTGTGAATGTGATTCTCGGGGCTGCAGATATTGTCCCTCGCAAGATCGAATACCCAACTGGACCTGCCACCGATAATGCCTTCTTCCTCTGGCAAATTATGCGATCCGTGCCTCGCTATGTTCTTCGCATGTGCACCCTCCAGGGCTGAGACGCTATTCAGGGAACTACAGACAAGATGAGAGCCTCAGCTAAGTAAGCATGGCGTTTCAGGAGGCTGGACTTAGTCCCTTGATTGCATTTTAGCCAAGTCCAATCTATTCATTTCGTGACTCATCAAGAAGTATCGGGTCCGATAATGCATAAATCAATCTCTTCTAGTGGCACAATGACAGGTAACACAAATCTGGTTTCACACATCAGAAACACCCTTCTTTAACGCCTCGTCCTCCGGATCCAGCCGTTCTTCTCCCCTCTTTGCCATATGAGGCGTCAACCACCAGGCCGCCCAAGCTCCCAACCCGATACAAACGGGAGAGGCGGCGCGGGCAACAATATAATAGTACTTGTGGGTAATATCAAGCCCAAACCACGCAGCAGTGCTCTCGAGATAGGGGAAATATCGTCTCATAGAGTACGCGAAGCCGGGAGCAGATAAATAGGACGTGACCGCCATATAAAATAAGCGGCGATCTGTCGACCATAGATTCCAAGCATAGCGAAGATGAAAAACAATATACCCCACAAGAAAGCACAGAGAGACGGCCAGCAAGCTGATTATGACCGCCGGTAGGTTTTCCAGTCCCCAAAATGGAGAGGGGCTTCCTGAACTCTCACAACAGTAGATTTCTTCGTCGTGCTCAACTTTTTCCGCAATCGGGATACAAGGGAACCCCAGGTATAGGAGAATAACCTCTGTCGTCCAACACAGGAAGATCCAGGTTTGTGGCGGCAATGGGGATAAACTCTGACCACCTATTTGGGTTATTGCCCGTATCACCGTGAAGAGCTGGAAGTCTGCCGAAAATATATCTGATTATACATTAGTTTTCAAGTGTATATTTGAGTTCGCACGGTGGTAGGATACTACTACATACCCATATTGTGTTGTGTAATATGTCAAAGAAAATGTAGGTAACTGGGAGGAACTTGAACAATCTGATTTTTCTCGTGGACATTGTCTAAATAAAGGGTCCAAATTATCTGAGCTGCGAACACTGCCCCAAACACTAGTAGTCTTGGGGGCCAAAACCACAACCCAATCAATATGTCGGATGCCAAGCTAGGCAGTAGTTTTTTTATCAATACAAAATCTGCCTTAGTGGAGCTTAAACTAACGCCCGACTCTAGTTGTGCTGGAAGTACTATGTGTAGTGGATATGGTTAGTTATGTTCGTACTTTCTCTTCCCCCACGCCAGTTGTTACCACACTCCTCACTATTACTATCACCACCACATCCTTAAGCACAGAAAAGGCTAGATTAAATGCATAGACAATAGTCTTTGATACCAGTCTATTCTATTTCCTTCTAATACTATCAACCATCTTTACAACTTGAGTCCCCCTTTCCCGAATCTGTTCCTTGCATGAGGGGCACCCAAACCCTAAAAGGTCCAAAGGTCCAAAAGACCCCACAGTTTCCAGAACCCGCGACCGACGTCATCCCGCAAGATGACTGCAACTGATGACCATGATCATGGCTATGGGAGTACCCTCCGATGTCATTGGGGAAATATCCATCCAACATCAAACTCCCACTCCCACTTTAGGCTGAAGCAGAGCAGAGCAGAAACAACTACTGAGCTTTCTTTCCCTCCACTCCACCCATTTCGAATAAACGCCATATAAATGCCCACCGACATCTCAATCCTCGTCTTCGTCGCCTCGCCACTCGACTACGCCCGATACCGGCATACAGCTCTATTCTTCGACTTTGCGCAAACACAACGGCAAGAGACAGACAAGAAGGACCACCCAGCGGTCCTTGAAAATGGGATCAATACCCAGACTGGAAATGAGCTACGGCTCAAGAATGCGGGAAATGCAGGCGCAGATGTAGATGGATCTCCATCTCCATCTACAGACCCCGCCTCCTCCTCCTCCTCCTCCCCCTCCTTCGAGGTTAAATCATGTTTGATGGAAATCACCGGATCACCAGGATTCTACAACTTTGCCGAACACATAAACTCCGACATCCCCATCTCCTCGTCCAGTACGTTCCAACCACCCCCGTCTCTCTCCAAACCAACCCAAACCACCGCTAACCCAACCCGCCTCTCCAACACAGCTCTAGCCCGCGTAATCCCCGTCTCCTCAATAAAAACCGCACCCCCGCCCGCCCTCCGCCTCATAACATCCGAAACGCCAATCCCCATCGACATCGCAGAGGAAATGGACTGGAATTCGCAGAATTGGGTAGGTGATGCGCTGGGTCGGCTTGTTACGGCGGGGTATTTGGATACGAAGGATCGGGATCGGGCGTTGGATGAGATGGTTGATGTTGTCTTGGAGGCTAAGGATGAGGAGACTTCGGGCTCTTTATGAGGTTGGATTGGAGATGAGGGTATGGATACGGTTGCTTTGCAATGCTCACTGCCGGTGGATGAATATTGTATATTGACTCGGAACTATGTGTATTATTTAGGATTGTACTTTGGTGAATATAGACGTTTTAGAACTAGAGAGTTGGAAGCTTGGTGATGTCATTGGAAAGGATCTTATAGAGTAGAAGTGCACCTGGAAGTAAAGTATGAAGTGGAAAGAAGTAGAAGTAGATGAAAATAAAGTGTACCCGAGCCCTCGCCTCGCCTCGCCTCGCCTCGCCTCGCCCAACCTAGCCTAACATAAACCCATACCTATGAAAAGAAAAAGAGGGCAAGAGAAAAAAAAATAGAAAAAATGATGTGATGAAAATCATGGGCAGGGGGACAATTTGCAGAAAAGCGCAGATCAAACGCTCGGCCCATGCATGCAACGCGCTGCACCCACGCTAAGAAAACAAATCCACGGAAGGGGGGGATGGGAGATGGGAGGAAAGACAAAAGCGGGATAAGATGAGCATCAATGACAATTCATATCATATGGTTTCATTTTTCATTAGCCAGGAACCGCGCGCGAACCCCGAAGATCTCGTTCCGAAGAGAAGCAGAAAAAATATCCGGAAATTAGGATGCGAGAGAGAGAGAGAGAGAGGCAGAGGAAGAGAGAGAGCGCGTCGAGGAAAGGATGTTGGTAAAGAATGGGAACGGAGATAGAAAAAAGAAAAGAGAAAGAGAAACTCGCTAAATCGCAGTTTCTTCGAACACGCACACACCCACCACTGACAGCACGTACGAAGAGGGGCGATAGAGACGATAGAGACGATAGGATTGAGAAAGAGTCAGGCTTCAGCATTCTAGGATCTGCGAGAATCGCTCGGTTTCCAATGGATAGGCTCGAAGTCTTGATTTTGGAAATGCGCTTGGTTATACGGTGAACTGTGACTAGTCAATTAATGAACATGGTGTTATGGAGACATGATTGAAGCACAATCGCGTGGGAAAGATAACTCACTTCTTAAATGGAGTTGTAACTGGAAGCGAACGGCTCAAATTCGGCTTCATGACGAGCGGGTTCAAGCGAATTTGCGGACCGTCCGATGAGCGGCTGGGTAGGGTGGTCATAGGCGGAGGCGCAGCAGAAGGCATAACCTGAGGTGGGGGCGAAGCAACAGGTATAGAAGGAATGGAGGCATGGCTCTGTGGGTGGTTGGGCACATGGCTTTGCATGGGCGACTGATATATTTCCTGGGGTGGAGACATTCGGAAGGGGCTGGCTGGGGTTGGAGAGACTGACGGCGCCATGGGTGACATTGGTGTGCCCATGCCGAAGCCCGGATCCGCCATCAGGTTTGGGATGGACATCAGGTGGGAGCTGACGTCGAAGTTGAGAGCTCCTTGGTCCCAGGCTTCGAGGTTAGAAGTCATATCGTATTGGAGGTTGACCATGGGTGTCATATTCACAGTAGGTTCGGCTCGGTAGAGGATGTCATAATGGCCACTGTGGCTGTCAGAGAAAGGAGGTCTAATAAAGATGGGGGCGGAGGTAGGCGAGATACTCACGGACGATACAGCAGGCGGATGGTTGCATGAATGGGACACTTGTCAGAGATTTGGTGAGGCGTCACATGTTCGCCTTCGCTTCTGTCGAGATATAGGATCTCGACACCGAATTGGGATGGATTGATAACGCCGTCGACCAGAGCTTGCAGACCAACTTCATCGATCTCGCTTCGTACTGGTTCAATTCGGGTACCGCAATATTGGTCTAACGGCATGGTCAGATACGCTTGGTATCGGTCGGGGTTTAATTTCATCCAGGCACTGGTCAAGAGCTAAGAGACGTTAGCTTTCAAAAGATAAAGTCACTTCGCTACTGGGAAAGACATACTCGGAAGTGGGTAATGACCGCGTTTGAGCTGTACTCCTCATTAAAGGCATTGATGAGAAAAGACTCGTCCCGATCGCCATTTTGGATCGCCTGGGCGGTTTGCGCGAAAATTTCCTCTGTAGCATCGGCGAAGATCTCGTACAAATGTTCTTGGTGGCCAACCTGGTCCAGGTAGGAGTTGAGTGTTTTGAATCGAATGAGTTCCTCTTGCAAGCGGATTGGGTCACGGTTGTTAAACATGGTTTCGAAATAGCCAAATGCCACCGCTAATAAATGATCAGAATATTGCTTTCTCTCCCGGGTGAATAGGGACTACATACCTCGCCAACCACAGTTCCCGTCACCCTTCATGATGCGGGTGGTGGGATGTGTCACTGCAAGATCCTGATTCGGTGGTTAGCATTTACTGGAACGAAGAGACTACCCATGGCAAGAGCGACAGTTGTAAAAAACTTACATTCGTCTTTGCTGCGAGGGTTGGGTCCGCATTGGCATAGTCCAATGCAATGGTATGACTAGATTGCTTGGTCGAGACCAAGGGTCCCTGAGGAGAGAAGATCAATTAGCCCCCCCTTGTATCTCTGTGTATTCGGGCAATCGGACTCTTACTTGGACATCTGGTTCAAACTCATTCGAGAGTTTCTGGAAACGTTCCATCTCGGCTTGAGAGAGAGCATTCATGTTGGTGGAGGAACTCATGTTGGAAGAAGCACACGGGGCCAAGGCGGCTGATATTGAGAATCCTAGAGGAGGCAGAAAAGAAGGCGCGTCCCGGTAATAAGTGTGAAACCGCTGTTTGTCCGGGAAAGGATGGTGAGGACCGAAATGACTCCAGGGTTTAGATAAGGACATCGCATACGACAGAGAGAATATAGAGAAAAGGTTTGCGTTTTTGGGAGTAAACGGTAAAAAAAGAGAAGTCCTTTTGGCTTGTTTTTCCGATGTCCAGGGAGACGGGTTCGGTTTAGTCCAGTTCAAATTTTATCTGTGGAGGGTAGATTAGAACAAACTACTCGAATGAAAAAAAGAGAATGAAAAAACACAAGGTGGATTTCGGATAGAAATAGAGATAGTGACGCACTCGAAGGGAAATGACATCTCCCTAGGAGGGCTTGTTTCCTTTGGGGCTGCACGGCTGTGCGTGTGTTTGAGGGGCGTTGTACGACCCTGCGGGACTGCAGAGAGCCCGGCAATTTGGGCGGAACTAAATGATCATCGTCTCAGCATGAAAGATCAGACGCACAAAAGTGTTCAAGAGTGGTATAGTGTCATATCGCATGTAAATTCCAAGAGTGCATGAACATCAAGCTGACGAGAACTGAGGAAGCTAGGCGGGTCTGGGCGGACCACCGGTGCGGCGACCATGCACCCAGAAGATGGGAAAGATGGTGTGCAGACCTCCTCAGGGAACTGGGCAGAGAGGTCCCGATTGGACCGGAGTCACGATTAAAGAGGGTTTTGTGATGAGAAAGCCAGACGCCACGAAGGAGAAAGGGCCGGCACAGTTTCAAGGCTGAAGCATCACGTTGACAAAAGGGTACGCGTATGATGTCAGCGCAGGGCTCTGGAGGGCAACACTGACACACAGGGCACCTGCACCTGGTAGCGTCTGGATGGTGGCCTCACATCATTACTGTTGGCTCCCAGATCGGCCGCAGGAAGAGGGAAGTGGGGGGGAGTGGAGGGGAGGGGGATATAGTTGATGTTGATGAGTGGAGGCGGGAATATCAACCGTCCATGTTCAACCTCCGTCAGGGCGGACGAACCACATCAACAGAGCCTAGGTAATTTGGGGGGTCCACTCCGGGGGTACGAGGATTCCCAGAAGAAGGCCGATGGGATTGCCGAGGGGGCGGAGAACAATTCCGGATCATCCAGGCAGTTTCTCAGGCAGCGACAGCGGCAGCGACAGTGACACTCACAGTCACACTGCTAGCAGGAGGCAGCAAGGAGACACCAGAAAGGGAAAGCAACTGGGCAAAAAGGAGGGAGGGGAAGGAGGGGGGGGGAAAAGGTAGACCTACATCTGGTTGGACGTTGGAGATTTGCGACAACACAATCATCAACACGTGGATGAGATAATCATGGAGAGGGTAGAGGAGGATGGCAGGGATGGTGGTGATGGTGATGGTGATGGTGATGGGAGTGGTAGAGGTGAGTGGAGAGAGAGAGAGAGAGAGAGAGGGAAGGTTCAGGTTGTTGTTCAGTGGAAGAAGAGGGGGGGAAAGTGATTAATGGTCAAATCCACCCTTCAATCTTGAATTTTGGAAGAAAAGAGGAAGGCACTCCCCCAGAATTATTATGTTAAAAAATAAAAAGGAAAAGAAAAAGAAAAAGAAGAAAAAAAGTGAGCTAGACGATAAGCTCCCCAGGAGAGAGAGGAGAGAGGGGGGGAAATGCAGGAAGAAAACCCACGCCCCGCCGATGTGTGAAGATGCGGATCGAGTGCCAACGCAGAGAAGAGCAAAGAGCAAACAAGAGTAATTTAATTACATTACACTGTGTATCTGAGTGTCCACTGCCCACTGTATCCTATACTTTACAGAAGTACTTCTAGGTCGCGTCTAGTCAAGCGCGTTCTTTTTCTCATCTTAAATCTCGATCAACAATCAAGTTTTTGATGGTAGCTTAAGGTCGCGGACTTTACCCGGAAAAGCGGGGAGGGTTCCAGAGTTGAAGCTCAACCTTGTATACTTCCATTGTATACTACTAGTATACTATGTACACTATGTATACTACTGTATACTACTGGTAAGGACTCCAATTCCAATCTGTTTGACCGCCTGATTCGATTCGATTCGTATGTCTCCTCCGCTCTGCAACCGACTGGTCCACGATCTTTCTCGTTTGTCTTTTCCTTGTCGACTGCTGCTGCTGCCACTGGCACTGCGACAGCTTCTGGACGGGCTCCTGCTACACGCACTGCACATTACCTACTGCCTACTGCCTACAGAGTACGAATACTCGTACCCAGATCTCTCTCTTTTTTATTTGCTTTTTCCATCGCCCTCCCAATCTGAAACCCAACCACTAACAAGCGACACGAAGCGCAGCGTGAGATTCAGGGCTGAACTGGTGACTGGTGACCCCCCGGGAAAAAAAAAATCGAGCTATCCCCCAAAGGCCCCAAAGCCCCCATAAACATGAATCATACCAGTTCTCCCCTCAAGCTCAATAAACTTCTCGCTGAGTTTCCCCCGTCACCCGACTCCACCGCGGCCAATGATAGGCCGAGAGGAGGGGAGAGGAGAGGTTTCGAATTGGGGATCGTAATCCCGCCTAGGGACGTGCGGTCAGTTTGGCCCCAGCAGCAGAAGCACAAGCACAAGCCTAAACAGAAGGACAGGCACCGGCACCATGGGAGCATGGGGGGGCATGGGCGGAGCAGGAGCAGGGGCTCTGGCATTGACCATTGGCATTAGCACCAGCTTGGTGATTGCTGGAATGTCAGTTGTTGGTTGGGGGTGGTTTGGTTATTCGCCCTCTGTTAAGATCATGGGTTCTGCGATCTGGGCCCTTGAAGTCTGTCTAGCGCACTGATCGCCAGCGCAAATGTGTGTCTCCTCCCTACCCCCCCTCATGTGCTCGGTGTTTGAAATTGACTCTGGTTCAAACCAGAGCCCGAGTCACATCATATTGCATATCCGTAGACTTCCATTCCCATCGTGAGAAATGGATTGCGAGAAATCGTCAAATCGAAAGAGAAAAAAAATGTACGGGGTACGAGGATGGAATATCGTATCGTACGGAGTACAAGGTGCGTGCGGATCCGCCGTCACCCCCACTGGATGGTATCATCGGGCTACTAGCTCCAGCTCTGACTCCGGGCTCCTGGTTCCATTCCCTCGGTCGATGCTGGATGATGTCTGTGTGTGCTGTGCTGTACTGTGTTGTGCTGCGTTGTCGATAAGCCGTTCACATGCTGTGTCTTCTGGTGGGTTCTTTGGGGCACGATGCGCGATACACGATGCATGATGTGATGCGATGCATGCGTGTAGCCGGTATCGCTTCCATTCTGACCCTCTAGTCAATAGGAATCGAGAGAGCTGGTCGGATAAACGGCCATGAAATTCCAGGATCCAAGCCATGGCTGATTGGGCCTCGTGTTGACCCGGCTGTTAGGTTTGTACAAAGGACGGACGAGAAGCATGGAGTATCAGAAGTACCTACTCGTACTAAAGGAATGCCACATGGTGGGACTGGGACCTTTGATGAAGGATTCTAGAAATATCAGTACATCCCTCCCCCAGGATGTCGAGACTCGTCCTCCGTACTTCGGCCTCTGCGTCCACTGGCTGTCCCCTCTCGGTTGGTTCCCGAAGTAAACAAGTACCAACTAGCAGTACCACTAACTAGTCTATACGTGTACGAGTACTTATGTACATCTATCACCCGCCAGTGGACCTACTAATACTTAGTGTAGATGTACAATACTTCGTACCGGGCCCGACGGACACTAGGTATTAACCGGTTAGGGGAGTCACTTTTGGACATTCGGGCACTAAAACCATTGGAATACCATAAATACGCCGTCCTACTGAATGAAAAAAGCTCGTCCAATTCATCTTATCATCAAATTTTAGCGTCTTATGTCAGAGCAACTCTAAATTGCGGGGCTTCGTCGAATTGCTTCCTACGCCTCTTCCCCCGTCCTTTAGACCGCTCCACTTCCACTGTCAGGACCCGTTGCTGTGGCCGCTGCAGCGAAAACTCGGTGTGAGATTGCTATCTCTTTCCCCCCTTTTCCCCCACGTGGATCTCATCCGGCGCCAGGCGGCTCAAGTATACACATCCGCAGGTACCAGGGTACCACGCGCGGACCGTTCGGGTTGTGTTTGTGTTCAAAGGGAGGTACAGATATCATTGGGTCCTGGACTGGACCGGACATCTAGACCTAGTCCAGGACAATCCTACCCCGTGTGGAAAATCTGACAGGTAGGTTTCGACCGCAACTTTATGCCACGGCCAATTTGCCACCAAATCCCTTTCGCTCTCTCCGTTGGCGCGAGCTCATAGCGCGGTAGGAGGCCTCGTCGCCAAAGCCTTGAAACATGGGGCCCGCGCCACCGCCATGGGAGGTGTCGTCGGGTCGGAGACCCTCACCGTTAAGGGTGGTCTGCCAGAGGCTTTTGATCGAGGAACTCCATTCTTCCAGCGCACGGAGACGCTCGGTATCGGTAGGACTTGCCACTGTCACGATTCCGTTCTCCTGGTCGATCTTTGCGTCGAGCTTCTTATCCAAGATGAGGAAGCTTAGGATCTCCAGCACCTCTGGTACGGCGATCTTGATATGCTTGGAGATAAACTGTAGGGAGAAGCGGGTGTATGGGGCGATCAGCTTGAGCACAGCCTTGGTCCGCATGTTGCGGCTGACCTCGTCGATGTTCTCGGCAATGAAGGGGTCGGCCAGCACGTCGGGATGCTGACTGAGAACAGCTTCGTATGCGTGGATATCATCACGCTGAAAGGCGTCCACCAGGTCGGTCATGGCCGATATGCGGGGGTCGTTCTTGTAAGGTTTGGTTTCTTGCGAATCGAATGGGTTGATGTCAGATTTCATTAGCATCGTCGTGAGCACTAGGTATTTTAGGACTTGGATCCGTTGCATGGACCCCGCCTCGTCGTAGTTTCGGAATGATTCGAAGAAGTCGCTTTGCGCTTCCTCCCAGTTCTCTTCGCTCATGTGCATCTTGCCTCCGCATTCCCGGATGATACCCATGATCTTTGGGTGAGGTACGGCCGATCGCACTCGCAGCGCCCGCTGGTATAGGGCCTTGAGGCGTTTATTATTCTTCATCTCAGCGTACATCTGAATCTCGAGTGCAAAGAGTTCGAGCAAGTATGTTCCCTTGCTTGTATCATCTGATCCATCCTCACGCTGGCACGCCCGATGCAGATCTCGGACCTTCTTGCTCAGTTGTGAGAATTCCTTGCGCTCCAGCCATAATCGGGCCAATTTAATGTTCGTCTTGAGCCACAGTCGTTCGTTGTTGGTATTCTGGAAGGAGTCGAGGGTCAAGGAGTAGAACTCCTCCATGCACTGGTAAGCCTGGGCGTCATCGGATCCCTTTTCGATATAGTCGAGCATATTATTGATGGATTTCTCGGAGTAATTGCGGGTGACGGCGGACTTGACGTAGGTGAGGAGTTCCCGGTAGTGTTCAACCGCATCGCTGTATCGTCCTAGTTTGAATTCCAACTTGATGGCCTGTTTCAATCCTTTGAAACCCCTGTGAGAGATGTCAGTACAGAGCCGATTCCGTCACTCGTTAAGATTTCTCACGAACCAGTCGCTTTTGTCTTGTTCTAATGCCGGTACGCCTAAGAACTCATCGACCGCCTCTTCCGGGTTATCGACCTTGAGTTGTTTCGCATTGTAGTATTTGTTTTCGATTCCGATATCCCCCGCCTCGTCGTCATCGTCGTCTTCGTATTCAAAATCATAACTGGGAGGAGAAGTGTCAGTTGGGCCAGGAGATCGGGGCGAAGGGGTCTCACTCTTCGTCCCCGGAATCCTGCATGAAATCGTCGTCGTCGGACATTTTGGCGTGAGTAATAAAGTGGAGGATACGATATCGAAAGTGAGGTGTATCACGTATGGGAATCAGGGAGTATCTGAAAGCAGGATAGGGTGGGTGGTGTGGGTGTCGTGGGGGGATGTGGTGGAAGTTGGAGAAGCTTTGAGCTGCGAGGCTCCGGAGTTGTGCTTGTGCTTGTCTTCCCCGCCCCGCCCCGTCAAACTGTCCATAGTAAACAACATGGTTGTCCCCGGTCTTACAATCTATATACTACATTTCTATAATACTCTCTATCACCCATTGACATCTCCTGGAAATACATCAATGGATCACCCCTCTCCCCCTCCCCCCTCTCCCCCTCGTCTCCTGACACGGCAGCAAGTTGCAAATACAACCAGTGTGTCCCCTTGCCCAGCCGCAGAACAATGAGCGCAACCACTACTGCAGCGATCTCGAATGAACCCACCCTGAGAATAGCACTGCCTATACTATACTAGGCATCCGGCGCAGCGCTCCAAGCGAGCAGGTCAGAGTAGAGAGGGCTTTGCAGCCGAGCCGAGTGGACCAGCAGGGGGAAAAGGTACCTTATTCGCCGATCCCCTTTTACTTTCAGGGTGCGATGTCATCGACTCCGGGCAGTGCTGGAATCCTCCCCGATCACCTCCTCCAACCGCATTCCTCGCTCCCCTGTTGCTTGCACTCAAAGAAACATCGCGTGTCTATTGGATTGTTGATCCTACTACCTCTCCTTCGACTTTCCAATCCTCTCCCCGATCCCTTTACCCTGATTCACAATGGAGCTATGCGGCCGTCAGAAGGTTGTCCAGCGCAAGATGGTGCTGCTGTCAGTTTGAACCACCCTGGCAACCCCTCACCTTCGACTCGGGTCCTCTAACTTGCTCTCTTTATAGTGGCGACGGTGCCTGTGGCAAAACTTCGGCCCTGAACGTGTTCACAAGAGGGTGCGCAACTTCCCCATCTCCCATCTCCCAGCCCCCTCACCCCCCTCCCCGAGCTTCCCCTCCGGAGTTAACAGGTGGAGGTGGAGGTGTATACGGGTGTATTGAATGAACGACAGCTAACTCCTTTTCAACATTATAGATTCTTCCCGACGGTCTAGTAAGGTCTACCCCGATCAACTCAATTGTTCTGCTCTGGTCACGAGTACTGACACCAGCACCTGTACTACTACACAGTGAACCGACCGTCTTTGGTACGCGCTTGCCCGAACATTGAAAAGAAAACCACATGTCGCTAATGAATTCAATCTAGAAAACTACGTTCACGGTATGACCCTCGATTTACCAGCGCGCTCTCCACAAACACGGGACTAATGCGCCTACCAGATATCTTCGTCGACAATGTACATATGGAACTTTCGCTTTGGGATACCGCCGGTCAGGAGGAATTCGACCGTTTGCGCGCACTGTCATACGAGGACACGCATGTCCTGATGCTCTGCTTCAGTGTGAGTGCTAGTGAACTTTGGTGGATGGCAATTGAACTGCGCGGCCGTAATAGGATACTGACAACCGGGTGCAGGTCGACAGCCCCGACTCCTTCGAGAACGTCGGGTCCAAGTGGATCGCAGAGATCAATGAGAACTGTCCCGGCGTCCGGGTAGTTCTCACGGCCCTCAAGTGCGATCTGCGCAAGGACGACGAAGAGAACGACAATCCAGGGGCGATCTCTTTCGATCAGGGTCTGGCAAAGGCTAAGGAGATTGGCGCTGTTAAGTACTTGGGTATGCTTTGCTCCAGTCCATCATATCGAAGCCATGGAAATCGCAGAGCATCACTAACACCCTATTCTAGAATGCTCTGCTGTTCAGAACCGCGGCATCAGGGAAAGCTTCTACGAAGCCGCCAAGGTTGCGCTGGATGTTAAGCCTACCGGGTCTAAGGGATCCGGTTCGTCTTGCGTGATCCTCTGATCTAGCATCAACCCCATTTTCCCTCCTCCAGCTTTCCCTCCCCCCCGCCTCCTCCAGGTATACATGCTCATCCATGACAACTTTCGAATGGAAGACCACCCTGTCTTTGTGGTGCGTGAATGAGGCATGCGCTTTATCTTCAGTTCTTAGTGGTTTCATCTCGCGAGATCGACCGCTCCTTCTTTCTCTCCCTGTCTCTTTTTATATGTTCCTTGATTCCCCTTTGCATCGATGTTGACATTTCTCTGACTTGCGACACGCTTATACTTCTTATACCTGACTGGGAATGGCTTGGCACCCGCCCCATCCGGTCTTTTGCATGGCTCCGCCTCTTGTGGAAGCATTTCAGCGAGGTTGGCTCTACTCTTTTCTTATATAGCCAATAATAATACCCTCAACCGAATCGTCTTTAAGTAGTAGTATGGCTAAATCAATTATAATATGTAAAGCGCGGTGATGGATCCATAGACTCCTCGTAAATGATACACTTTTGATGTCAAATAGATTACAGAAGCCGACTCGGAACAAACTCCTAGTACTGCCAGTGTATTTGCCACTGGCACTAGTCAGTAATTGACCTCTCTCAAAAGATCCTCCTCATTAACCATATAAACCTCCTTAATCTTCTCACCCGACGCACCCTCCCCACAAGTAAAATCCGCATTAACCCTACTAACAAACCCCTCCACGAACCCCTGCGCAACCTCATCAACACTCACACCCGTAACACCAACACCCTCGAGACTAGTCGCTTCCTTCCCTTCAAGCCCACACGCAACAATCTGCTTAAAAAACCACATAGGCTCCTCCGTAACATTCAACCCGATGCCAAAACTGCTGATATTTCGCCGTAAGTGGACGCCCACGGCTGTGATTTTTCTCGCCGCGGAATTAGTGCTGCCGCTGCCGCTGCTGTTGCTGTTCTTCGACACCCACACGCCGGGGTCCTCTGTCACGAACCCATTCACGCCGTACCGTTTTAACAGATCAATTACACTGTTCTCTAATACGCGGATGTGACATCTCGGCGTTAGACCGAGTCGTTTCAGATCCAGAATCGTATATGCGACCATTTGGCCCGGTCCATGGTATGTAGTCTGACCACCGCGGAGGGTGGGATGATACTCCGCCCTTGGAGGCTGACCATCCGGACCCAGCGAGAGAATCGAACGAATTGGTTCCAGCGCACTGGGTAGGGAGAGATTCTTGAGATCGGGCGGTTGGCTGCACGTCGTATTTGAAGGTGGGAGGTCGCGGCGGCCGGTTGTGTAGACTGGATTTGGAGAGAAGGTGATGATTGTTGGATCTGGTGGGGGAGGGGTTGCCTTTTTTGCGAGGTCGTTCGCGCATGGCTGGAGGGTTTCTTGGGAGGAGATTGAGCCCGGTGAGGATAGTTTTTTGTGCGTTAGGAAGCGCGTTGTGAGGGCTTGTTGGATTGCGGAGACCCTGGCGAAGGGCGTTGTGCTTGGGAGGTGGAGGTGGGCGAGTCTCATTTTGGTGGTTTGGAGGGCGTCTTCTAGTTGGTTTATTCCATAGGTGTGAGTGCCAGTGGTTTTCAGCTCTGGTTGATTGCTGGCTAGGGTGTGAGGTCTTTTCCGAGGAGTTATGCAGTCAATGGTTGCGGAGAAGCTGGGAGCTCCGGCCTCCGCCCGATAAGATAGTTTTGGCCGGGTGCGATCGGGCCCCGGGAATACCTGGTAGCTCTGTGGAGCTTAAGTGCTGTTAATTAGTATGAGATATGCATACCTACTTGGAGCTCATTGGTCTCAATTGATGGTCTGTGGACTTCAATGTTCAGTACTCGTAGTAATACTAGTACTTCAATTGGGCTGTTCTCTACAGTTTCTCATTCCGGGTGCTACTAGTAGCAAATTATATATTAACTACTAAAGTTCTACCGCACCTGGGCACTTTGGATTCGAATACCCCAGAGTGACCTCGGAGGGCATACAAAGATAGTAATACCAGTACAAACCTTGATAGCTATAAAAATACCGGAGCAATACTGTATATTGATTAAAACAACTTGAAGGCTGTGGCAATGGTATTCGACATGGCCATCCACAGGCTATACTACTACTAATAGGTATTACTAGCATCAAATTGAATGAATAACTTGAAATAGAACCACTTGAAAATGAACCAACATTAAATCGAATTTACAACCTAAACATTGCATCTTATAATTGAAATCTACTAGAAACTTGAAAGTAATCCCAGAATGGCACAGCCATGATTCCGATTCCGATTCCAATCCCGATCCGATTATACACCATTGACGAGACCAGCCTGCTCCTGTTCCCGAGGAAGCAAAACCCAATCCCTCACTCCACCCTTCCAATCAGCAATCCGGCCCTCACGCACTTGCACCGTCACCACACGCACATCGCTATCAATCGACATACTCGGGCGTCTCTGACTGGGATCCCCACGCTGCTGCTGACCAAAGGTAATCTCCTCCTCTTCAAAAGTATTATTTTCCAGATGTCTCTCCTTGCACCACTTCTCTTCGTCAGAGCCAGGTTCCAAGAAACGGGCCTCGCCGCAGATGGTGGTGGAGATGCTGGACAATGCGCTCGTGTTTAGATTGAGGAGTAGACTGGCGAGCGACGAACGGCTCGCTGCGGGTGGGGAGAGCCCTCACGACCATCGGGATTCGGAGCCCGGGTCGGTGGGCGGTGTGAGACCCAGTCGTGGACGAGGAGGGAGAGGCGTGGGTTTGAGAGGAGGTGGTTCGTCTTTCGCGATGCGGGGTTCGTGGTCATGATGATTGTTGGGTACGGGTCGTAGGGGGTTGAGGGGAGATATGTATAGGACATCAGGGAGATGTGAGGGGTGAGGTTATCGCATGTTGCCAGATGAAGCTGAGTAGGATTAGTTCGTGGCCACTATACATGGATACTAGTAGCAGTGGAATTTGGGGGACCGTACGAAGCGGGAGTTCTTCAGGCAGACAACCACCTCGGAAGGGAGGGAATCGGCCTCATGGCGATGGGTAGTAGTGGCCGAAGCCTCATAGGAGAGAGGAGGATTGAGAGAGTCGGTCATGGCGACGGGCTGATTGAACGAGCAGTTAGCTTACTTACTGGCTGAGGTCGGATGGGAAGACTTGGTGGGATGATCGATCGATCTGCCGGGCGGTGAGGGGGGTCTGGACACGGGTATCGACGTCATGGTATCATACACAAACAGTACATACAATGGGTAGCATGGGATGATATAGTATCTATGTATCTACAATCGTATCGGCCATGATTATTCTATATTTTCAAAAATATAAACTCTCCATAGTTAGTCTCATACACACTACAGCTCGAGCTCACACTGGGCTGCCCACATTACCGCAGATAGCCGACCAATGCGACTAGCCTGGTTCCGGCGGTTTCTTAATTGTGGAGTTAAACTGGAGTAAGTACATCGTAAGCATCGTCATGATGGCAAGACTTGCTCCAGCTGCGACGATCATCCGAGGACGGAGTACAGAGAACCGGTAAATCGCCGATGACCGCAAGGGAGTACCTGTAGAGAAGAGTCTAGGCAATGATTACAAGCTACTGAGTACCAGACTACTATATGCACACTCCGTGGTGAATACTGCTAGTCAGCAAGGCATCATTCATCATTGGATAGTTCCATCGCGGGTTTAGGTCAAGCTTACCTTCCCCGCACTCCTCCCATCGCTGGACCTCTCAGACCTCTCCGACCTCTAAAATCCTTTTAATTCGCCTATCACCAGCGTGGAGCTTCTTCAGCGACGCACTACGATAGCGTAATTGCCTCCCCACTTGCATCAGTTTACTTGCTTGTAACCTGGTCTGCCCCCGGATTCCCCTTGGTGCACGCACTCTGGGGAAACATCCTCGCGTGTCCCCCTTCCAGCTTGTCCTCGCACTTCCTCAACCTCCGCTAATCCCTGTCTTCCCCTCTTCTTATTTGATTTCCTCCTGATTCCACTTCTACCTTTCCACCTCTCCTCTCTCCCCCATTACTACTTCTCTTACTCCTCCTCCCACCATCACTTGACACGGTCCTTTCCTTCCCCCTTTACTCCGTGATCGCCACTTCATCCCTTCCTCTACCACCTGTGGACGACTCCAACGTGTCCTTCCTTTGTTTTGATTGTTTGTGAAATTCGTCCCTCCCAACCCACATCCCCCCAATCCGAGCCTGAGCCACAATCATGTTGGCCCCCCGTTTCCTCCGCTCGGCGACATCCCTGGCGCGGCCCTTCAGCTCGTCCGCCGTGGCCTTCCGCCGCGCCCCTTCCATCCGAGACGTGACGTCCAGTTCGGCCGAGGAATTCAATAGGCGGCAGAAAGAGTTCCGCGAGAACCTCGAACAGGCTCGCAAGAGAAAGGAGCAGCAAGAGAGTCAGTCTGTCGAAGCTTCTATTAGTTCTCCCCTTCCCCGTGAGTCTGCTCCCACTGCTCCGCGTGTGAGCAATGCGAGTAGTTTCGATGATCGAATTCATCCTGCTTTTGATGCGGCCGAAGCTCTGGATTACAAGGCACTCGGCTCACTTTCAACACATCGTTTTTTAGGAGATGAACATCAGGCCGACCCCAATAACAAACGTGGGCCGCTGTCCTCGCTCATCTACGGTACCAAGGAAGGTCAGCACTTTGATCAGGATATCGAGCGCTCCTTCTCGCAGGTACTTGCCCGTGGCAAGTACGTTCATTCGATTGTCTTCCACGATGTCAAGCCCGACAAGGTCGACGAGTACGTGGAGTTGGTGGGCGAGTGGTACCCCCGCATGGCTGGCACCGAGGAGAATAGGGTCAACTTGGTGGGCAGCTGGCGAACACAGGTCGGCGATAACGACACCTTCGGTAAATTCCCTACCACCTGGCTCCTTCCTCATATGATTCGATGAGATTGTATTATGTTTTGGCCGTGACTAACTCCGGAGGTTTCAAATAGTCCACATTTGGGAATACCAGCGCTACGAAGGGTATCATGCTTCTCTGCACAATATCTCAGAGCACCCTGAATTCCCCGAGTTTGACCGCAAACTCAAGAGTTTGATCAAGAGCAAAAAGACGTCACTGATGCAGGAGTTCTCATTCTGGCCGACAACCCCTCCACGCCGGTTGGGAGGACTGTTTGAGCTCCGGTCGTACACGCTGCACCCGGGCAACCTTTTGGAATGGGAGACCCACTGGCGTCGGGGACTCACAGCGCGTCGGGAGGTGATGGAAGGCGTGGGCGCGTGGTTCGTCCAGATCGGTGACCTCAACACGGTACACCATCTGTGGCAATATGCCAACTTGGAAGAGCGCAAGATCCGCCGTGAGCAGTCGTGGGGCGTTGAAGGGTGGGCCGAGACAGTCCACAAGACCGTTCCCCTCATCCAGTCGATGCAAAGCCGGATTCTCGTCCCGATGCCGTGGAGCCCTGTCGGTTAAAGGTCCAGAGGTGGAGGAGACAAGCGGGAGCCCAACTCCACCCCGCTTCCACCGCAGAGGCTATTCCGTATCAGTCTGGCTGCAGGAGGCATGTGTTGCAGGCAGAGATGCGTGGATCGTTGAAGGGGGGTTTCTGAAAACCCGCCAGCCCTACTCGTACCCCAGAGAGGGCCAAGTATACTTTTACGCTAGGTAGGTGGATCTTGATCCACCGATTAGTTCTGTATCATGTATCTAGGAATCCTAGGATGGCGCATGCTAGTATTTCCCATTCTCAGTACTAGTTCCAAATTGCAAATCATTTTTGCATCATGACCAGCGCTTCGGGACTCACCGTCCCTGAAACTAACCGATTTGAGGGGCCTCGGGTATTCCCCCACTTCTTGCATGGCCGATCCCTTTCCTGTGATGCTTTTCATTGGCGTCGCTCCGAGGTCATCTCGACACGGCGATGCTGCACGTGGGCCGCGAACTGGTGAATTGGGAAAAGTCACGGAGTACTCGTAAACTCCATAGATTGGTAGGTCTGTCATTCTTGAACCTTGTAGATATGTGAGTAGCAACATGCAACTGTGGAATATTCGTACAGTAGATGTAGATGTAGAAGTAGAAGGTGAACTAGGCAACAGGGTATGTATTCCAAGTATCACCTATGTTGTATGCCCAGCATCACCAGTTGCCACTGAAGAAGCGCGCCGATCTTCCTCGCCAGGACCCATTCTTTTTTTCCCTTTTTCCACCCGGTCTTCGCGCCGTCCCCCAGCGGGGCCCGTTTAATTTGTTTTACCCTTTTCCTTTTCTCTCGAGCGTTGACCCTTTCCACGAGTAACGACTATTTGACCCTTTGTCCTCCCTCTTCTCCTCCTCCGTTCTACAGTCCTACGATCCAGCGACCCTCCCTCCCGAATCAAAAACACCACGTCGCCCTTCCCTTCACGCGCGTCAACACCGCCGAACCGCAACGTCTCCACTCCAACCCCAGCAAATCCATGCGGTGAAAAAAAAAAAACCGGACAAAACAAAACAAAGACCAACAAGCCTACCACAAACGTTACGAGAATCGCAACCCCCAGGATATTTCCTTTCACGGTCGAGACAAGACCAAACACAACATCAAGCATGGTGTACATTCGCCAACACCACCTCCCAAACCTGCGCAACTACCGCTATGCAGGTGTCGACCACTCCCTCGTTAGTCGGTACATTCTAAAGCCGTTCTATAACAAATGCGTGATCGGGTGCTTCCCTATGGGCATGGCGTGAGTTTTTTCAACCCAGCTTGCTTTACTTTGCGTTGCTTTGCTTTGAGCTCTGGCGAGATCTGCGGAGAAGCCCTGGAAGCTTGTCGGCGTGGACAGAAGTTCCATTGGCAAGCTTGGCAGAGCTTCGCGGATGGTTTCTTGCTGGAGTGGAGCTTTCCTTTTGCTATTCTACCTCTTCTATTCCCTGAGTTCTGGGAACTGGGGAAATGGGATGAGATGAGATGAGATGTGCTGCTTTACTATAATTTGCGGAACTGTGACTAACGAGCCTTTCTGGATTTTTCCTTGCGCGCATATAGTCCCAATGCTGTAAGTACGCGCAATGCGATTGATACCCTTTCATAACCCGAGGAGGAGCTGGTGAAGCTTTGGACCCTCGCTGCGCAAATGATATTGGTGCTAACTTATTCCTCTTGGTAGATCACCCTGACTGGTTTCATGTTCGTGGTCATTAATTTCATCACTGTGATGTGGTATAACCCCAATTTGGACCAGGACTGTCCGCCGTGGGTCTATGCCAGTTGTGCGCTGGGTCTGTTTCTGTATCAGACTTTTGATGCTGTCGATGGCATGCAGGCGTAAGTTTTTTTTACCCTCCCCCCGAATCGGACTGGGATGGTTGCTGAACTTTGGATAGACGGAGGACGAAACAGAGTGGTCCCCTTGGAGAGCTTTTCGATCACAGTATGTTGTTCTACGGCGAGCAGAATGGAAGGAAGAACAAGAACAATCTGATCAATCTAACCGAGTCTAGGTGTCGATGCATGCAACACCGGGTTAGGTGTTCTGATCTTCGCAGCCGCGATGAACCTCGGCCAATCCTGGATGACATTCTTGAGTCTATTTGGATGTAAGTATTTACCCACCCAGTCAAAGCTGCGCTGCAGGTAGTCCAGAGTCTAACCCCAGCAGCTACTATGACCTTCTACGTCCAAACCTGGGATGAGTACTATACCCAAGTTCTCACGCTGGGCGTTGTTTCCGGCCCCGTCGAGGGAGTTCTCACCCTCTGCACCGTCTACGCTTTGACAGCCTACATGGGCGGCGGTAGCTTCTGGCACCAGGGCATGCTGGAAACCATTGGCGTTTCCAAGCCAAGCTTCATCACACAGTCCGTATACGACATGCCCTTCACGCAGTGGTACCTGGTGTACGGTGCATTGATGCTCTTCTTCGCCACGGGCTCGAGTATCCTGCACGTTATGCATGTGCGCCGTGAGCGTGGCCAGGACCCCATTGCGCCGCTTTACGGTTTGCTTCCTCTGGTGGCGATCTGGACTCTCGTCCCGGCTTACTTGTACCTGCAACCTGCCATTTTGGAGAACTACACTATTCCGTTCGGCTTGTTTGTCGGTTTGGTTAATGCTTACTCCGTCGG